TATACTCAACGGTGAAGCATACTGTGATGATAAAATTATACTCAACGGTGAAGCATACTGTGATGATAAAGTTATACTCAACGGTGAAGCATACTGTGATGATAAAGTTATACTCAACGGTGAAGCATACTGTGATAAAATTATACTCAACGATGAAGCATACTGTGATTATAAAGTTATACTCAACGGTGAAGCATACTGTGATGATAAAATTATACTCAACGGTGAAGCATACTGTGATGATAAAGTTATACTCAACGGTGAAGCATACTGTGATAAAATTATACTCAACGGTGAAGCATACTGTGATAAAATTATACTCAACGGTGAAGCATACTGTGATGATAAAGTTATACTCAACGGTGAAGCATACTGTGATAAAATTATACTCAACGGTGAAGCATACTGTGATGATAAAATTATACTCAACGGTGAAGCATACTGTGATGATAAAGTTATACTCAACGGTGAAGCATACTGTGATGGTAAAATTATACTCAACGGTGAAGCATACTGTGATGGTAAAATTATACTCAACGGTGAAGCATACTGTGATGGTAAAATTATACTCAACGGTGAAGCATACTGTGATGGTAAAATTATACTCAACGGTGAAGCATACTGTGATGGTAAAATTATACTCAACGGTGAAGCATACTGTGATGGTAAAGTTATACTCAACGGTGAAGCATACTGTGATGGTAAAATTATACTCAACGGTGAAGCATATTGTGATGGTAAAATTATACTCAACGGTGAAGCATACTGTGATGGTAAAATTATACTCAACGGTGAAGCATACTGTGATGATAAAATTATACTCAACGGTGAAGCATACTGTGATGATAAAATTATACTCAACGGTGAAGCATACTGTGATGATAAAGTTATACTCAACGGTGAAGCATACTGTGATGGTAAAATTATACTCAACGGTGAAGCATACTGTGATGATAAAATTATACTCAACGGTGAAGCATACTGTGATGATAAAATTATACTCAACGGTGAAGCATACTGTGATGATAAAGTTATACTCAACGGTGAAGCATACTGTGATGGTAAAATTATACTCAACGGTGAAGCATACTGTGATGGTAAAATTATACTCAACGGTGAAGCATACTGTGATGGTAAAATTATACTCAACGGTGAAGCATATTGTGATGGTAAAATTATACTCAACGGTGAAGCATACTGTGATGGTAAAATAATACTCAACGGTGAAGCATACTGTGATGGTAAAATGATACATGCTGAACGGTGAAGCATACTGTGATGATAAAATGATACATACTGAACGGTGAAGCATACTGTGATGATAAAATGATACATACTGAGCGGTGAAGCATACTGTGATGGTAAAATGATACATGCTGAGCTGTGAAGCATACTGTGATGATAAAATGATACATACTGAGCGGTGAAGCATACTGTGATGGTAAAATGATACATGCTGAGCGGTGAAGCATACTGTGATGGTAAAATGATACATGCTTAGCGGTGAAGCATACTGTGATGGTAAAATGAAAGAATGAGTAACAGGTCCGTAATATCAAGGAATTATGATTCACGCTGATGAATCATTCGATCAGTTCGAGTGTTGATTCATTCCTCAGTGGAGCATAATGACTGACTACTCTACAACAGACTCAGCACTGAGGCAGTATAGACAGTCATACACAAGGAAGCCACTGTATCGTGGTACATCTTTCGCAATATCCTTAGAGCAGGACGGGGGATCGAACCAGCTCGGTGCCCCAAGACTCCTGGTGGATTCGGGTGGATCACTGGATAAATAATCCTTAACATATCGTGGTGCAGGGGTTAAGGTGTGCGTCTTGAGTTACCCAGGACGCGGGGTCGAGCCCCCGTCCTTTTACAAGGATTTTCTCATGGACAGGATTGAAGTCAGGTGTGGGAATGTCTCTTGTAATGTTATCTTGCCTGCAGGTGTGGGAGTGTCTACTGTAGGTATTATCTTGCCTGCAGGTGTGAGAGTGTCTCTTGTGATGTTATCTTGCCTGCAGGTGTGGGAGTGTCTCCCACACCCAGTGTTTAGGGGGGGGGGGTGAGCAGAGAGAGGCAGGAGCAGGGTGAGGCAGGGGGCAGGAGCAGGGTGAGGCAGGGGGCAGGAGCAGGGTGAGGCAGGGGGCAGGGTGAGGCAGGGGGCGGCAGGAGCAGGGTGAGGCAGGAGCAGGGTGAGGCAGGGGGCAGGAGCAGGGTGAGACAGGGGGCAGGAGCAGGGTGAGGCAGGGGGCAGGAGCAGGGTGAGACAGGGGGGCAGGAGCAGGGTGAGGCAGGGGGCGGCAGGAGCAGGGTGAGGCAGGGGGCGGCAAGAGCAGGGTGAGGCAGGGGGGCGGCAAGAGCAGGGTGAGGCAGGGGGGCGGCAGGAGGAGGGTGAGGCAGGGGGCGGCAGGAGCAGGGTGAGGCAGGGTGAGGCAGGGGGCGGCAGGAGCAGGGTGAGGCAGGAGCAGGGTGAGACAGGGGGCAGGAGCAGGGTGAGGCAGGGGGCGGCAGGAGCAGGGGGCGGCAAGAGCAGGGTGAGGCAGGGGGGCGGCAGGAGCAGGGTGAGGCAGGGGCGGCAGGAGCAGGGTGAGGCAGGAGCAGGGTGAGGCAGGAGCAGGGTGAGGCAGGAGCAGGGTGAGGCAGGGGGACAGGAGCAGGGTGAGGCAGGGGGCGGCAGGAGCAGGGTGAGGCAGGGGGCAGGAGCAGGGTGAGGCAGGAGCAGGGTGAGGCAGGGGGCGGCAGGAGCAGGGTGAGGCAGGGGGCGGCAGGAGCAGGGTGAGGCAGGGTGAGGCAGGAGCAGGGTGAGGCAGGGGACGGCAGGAGCAGGGTGAGACAGGAGCAGGGTGAGGCAGGGGGCGGCAGGAGCAGGGTGAGGCAGGGGACGGCAGGAGCAGGGTGAGACAGGAGCAGGGTGAGGCAGGGGGCGGCAGGAGCAGGGTGAGGCAGGGGGCGGCAGGGGCAGGGTGAGGCACGAGCAGGGTGAGGCAGGGGGCAGGAGCAGGGTGAGGCAGGGTGAGGCAGGGTGAAGCAGGAGCAGGATGAGGCAGGGTGAGGCAGGAGCAGGGTGAGGCAGGAGCAGGGTGAGGAAGGAGCAGGGTGAGGCAGGGTGAGGCAGGAGCAGGGTGAGGCAGGGTGAGGCAGGAGTGATGGAGGCATAAGTCTGGCCATGGCCGCTAATAGCAGCACGGTGCGCGGGCTTTCCTTTACCGCCCCTGTGATTGGTTCATCAAGTGTGGCGCGGAGGTGATTGGCTGCCCCCAGTAACTAACAGAGACTAACGCAGCCGACGTGCACACTCTCTCAGCTCAAGCTCTCATCTCAAGCTAACAGCTCAAGCTTTCAGCTCAAGCTCTCAGCTCAAGTTCTCAGCTCAAGCTAACAGCTCAAGCTTTCAGCTCAAGCTCTCAGCTCAAGCTCTCAGCTCAAGCTCTCACCTCAAGCTCTCACCTCACTCTCTCAGCTCAAGCTCTCAGCTCAAGCTCTCAGCTCAAGCTCTCACCTCACTCTCTCAGCTCAAGCTCTCAGCTCAAGCTCTCAGCTCAAGCTCTCATCTCAAGCTAACAGCTCAAGCTCTCAGCTCAAGTTCTCAGCTCAAGCTCTCACCTCACTCTCTCAGCTCAAGCTCTCATCTCAAGCTCTCAGCTCAAGCTCTCACCTCACGCTCTCAGCTCAAGCTCTCACCTCAAGCTCTCAGCTCAAGCTCTCACCTCAAGCTCTCGCCTCCAGCTCTCAGCTCCAGGTCCTAGTGCCCCGGACACCATAAACATGACAGAAAGCTCCACATCACAGCATTTGCTCAATCAATCACGCCTGTTATAGGTCCTGGATATACTGACCTCTTGTGTAATACAAATAAGCCATTGTCTTGTGGTGTCAAGTCCTATAACAGGTCCCTATACATACATATACATACATACAACATACATAGAACTCTATATACTCCCTATACATACATAGAACTTTGACAGGTGATTGTAAATGATGACGTCACTGAATTCTCTCATTAGTAAGGTGATATCTTAAGCTATGGGGTAAGATTATTATTATAAGAGAACCTTTGTCCCAGGATGGAAGTCTGACTGGTGGGGCTGTCCTCAGTCAACCACCCAGGATGACACATAGGCGGTATGGGAGTGTCATAGGACAGTCAGGGGGCTACATTGGCAAACTATAAGATGTAACGAAATTGATAGCGACATCCCGGGATTTTTATGACGTCTGAAACATCAGGGGTGATGTTTTCCCATAGAGTTATGAAGCCTACTCCCACAATACTCATTCGAATTACTGTAATACATTTTGTGAGACGCGGACAGAGATAAAGAGGGATAGAGAGGGGTAGTGAGGGTAAAGAGAGGGTAAGAGAAGGGAGAGAGAGGTATGGGAGGGGAGATTGGAGGAAATATGTGAGGGGAAAAGTTGGTTGTTGGGGCAGAAAGATAGAGAAGGGGGGGGGGGGGTAATTAAGGTAATTATCAGGAGAAAGCAATAAGCCATTACGAGAGAAGGGAGGGGAAGAGAGGCCCAGGCACAGCCGGGTACCCGTATAGTGTGTGTGTGTATATGTATGTGTGTATATATATATATATATATATATATATATATATATATATATATATATATATATATATATATATATATATATATATATATATGCATCTGATGGGCCAATGGGCCGTCTGCGCTCTCCACGTATTGTACCTCACCTCACTTCACCATTCTCTCCTGCCTATTTATACCCATCACTCGATCTGTAAAATCACTCCTTCTGAAGATGTATTAATATACGAAAGTATTAGCGACACAATCTGCTGACCATCATAGGTCAGTATACGGGTCTGGTAACAGTAGATTACTATATTATTTTGTTCAAATAATAGTTTATGTATCTATAGTTCCTTAACCTTAATATATGCATCATTACACAAGTCAAAATATTTACAACAAAGAATGTGTTTAAGACTATTGGGGGATGTATATGTGCATTAAAGATGGCAGTGGCGAGGCGGGCTCTCAAGCGCTCTCGCCTTAAGCTAAACCAGGCTTCAGTAAGCGCTCGAATCCCTTGTGTTAAAGCAAGACACTCACCCGCGCGCTCACACAGCTGGAGCGCCGCGCTCACAGAGCCCGAGCGCCGCGCTCACAGAGCCCGAGCGCCACGCTCACACAGCCCGAGCGCCGTGCTCACAGGGCCCGAGCGCCGCGCTCACAGAGCCCGAGCGCCACGCTCACAGAGCCCGAGCGCCGCGCTCACAGAGCCCGAGCGCCACGCTCACACAGCTGGAGCGCCGTGCTCACAGAGCCCGAGCGCCGCGCTCACAGAGCCCGAGCGCCGCGCTCACAGAGCCCGAGCGCCGCGCTCACAGAGCCCGAGCGCCGCGCTCACAGAGCCCGAGCGCCGCGCTCACAGAGCCCGAGCGCCGCGCTCACAGAGCCCGAGCGCCGCGCTCACAGAGCCCGAGCGCCGCGCTCACAGAGCCCGAGCGCCGCGCTCACAGAGCCCGAGCGCCGCGCTCAGAGGCCGAGCGCCGCGCTCACAGAGCCCGAGCGCCGCGCTCAGAGCCCGAGCGCCGCGCTCACAGAACCCGAGCGCCGCGCTCACACAGAGCCCGAGCGCCGCGCTCACAGAGCCCGAGCGCCAAGCTAATAGAGCCCGAGCGCCGCGCTCACAGAGCCCGAGCGCCGTGCTCACAGAGCCCGAGCGCCACGCTAACAGAGCCCGAGCGCCACGCTCACAGAGCCCGAGCGCCGCGCTCACACAGAGCCCGAGCGCCGCGCTCATACTCCCCCTGCGCTCCTCTCTCCCCTGCTGACTTGCTAGACACTCTGATGTTGCCACTCAGCACAATTACCCCATCTTCCTCCGCTTATCCGTTGAGGATTAAGCTCAGAAACACATTATCCAACCCCATTACCCACTTCATGAGACGGGGCGCCCTCGTAATATCCCGCCTCACACCCCACCCACCCCCCCTCCTCCTAACCCTTATCCCCTCCCCCCTTCCACTGACGCCCCTTCCCCCCTCTCTGCTCTCTCCACAACCCCTCCTCCCCTCCTCCAACCCCCATCAGCGCAGAAAACTTTAAAAAAACGCTAAATCCTAATGAATTGGTGTGAAGCGATGAAGGGGTCGGGGTGGGGGATGGCCCAAGGGATACCCCCCTATCCCTGGGGGACGTCAGGGGGGTGGAGGAGAGTGAGGGAGGGGGATAGGAGGCCGGGAGAGGCAGGAAAGACAGAGCTAGACCAGCCCTACCCCGCAAGTTCGGCCAGCTGCACATCAGCCGGCTGGTCTGTATGGGCCAGCAGCAGCCGGCCGGCCGGTCGTGTGGCTTCCGGATCCCTCAGACCTCAATATCTGATCGATCTGGCCCCCGGGGGGGGGGGCGACCGTCGGCCAGTCCCAGGAAAAGGCGGCAAACTTACTGTTATTGCTGGCTGCACATGGTTCCTCTTGTTATATTGTTTGTGTGGGGATATGGGGCGGCCCTGTAGGGCGCCGCTATTGATTGTCTGCTCTCATATTGCTTGTAGGGACCTGTGCTGATTGTGTGTGATGTAATATTGCTTGTAGGGACCTGTGCTGATTGTGTGTGATGTGATATTGCTTGTAGGGACCTGTGCTGATTGTGTGTGATGTGATATTGCTTGTAGGGACCTGAACTGATTGTGTGTGATGTGATATTGCTTGTAGGGACCTGAACTGATTGTGTGTGATGTGATATTGCTTGTAGGGACCTGTGCTGATTGTGTGTGATGTGATATTGCTTGTAGGGACCTGAACTGATTGTGTGTGATGTGATATTGCTTGTATAGGGACCTGTGCTGATTGTGTGTGATGTGATATTGCTTGTAGGGACCTGTGCTGATTGTGTGTGATGTGATATTGCTTGTAGGGACCTGAACTGATTGTGTGTGATGTAATATTGCTTGTAGGGACCTGTGCTGATTGTGTGTGATGTGATATTGCTTGTAGGGACCTGTGCTGATTGTGTGTGATGTGATATTGCTTGTAGGGACCTGTGCTGATTGTGTGTGATGTGATATTGCTTGTAGGGACCTGTGCTGATTGTGTGTGATGTGATATTGCTTGTAGGGACCTGTGCTGATTGTGTGTGATGTGATATTGCTTGTAGGGACCTGTGCTGATTGTGTGTGATGTGATATTGCTTGTAGGGACCTGTGCTGATTGTATACTGTGTAATATTGCTTGTAGGGACCTGAACTGATTGTGTTCTGTTATAATGTTTGTAGGGACTCATATTGATGGAGTTGTCTGTGAGTTACTTCTTGCTGGATTCAAATTATTTTTACTCCCACAGTCCGGCTTTGGGCCAGACAGCTTTCTTGATGATAACCTAATTAATAACGCTGGTCCTTGCAGCGGCCTGCAAGCAGCGGCCTGCAAGCAGCGGCCTGCAAGGAGCGGCCTGCAAGGAGCGGCCTGCAAGCAGCGGCCTGCAAGGAGCGGCCTGCAAGCAGCAGCCTGCAAGGAGCGGCCTGCAAGCAGCAGCCTGCAAGCAGCAGCCTGCAAGGAGCGGCCTGCAAGCAGCGGCCTGCAAGGAGCGGCCTGCAAGCATCGGCCTGCAAGCAGCAGCCTGCAAGGAGCGGCCTGCAAGCAGCAGCCTGCAAGGAGCGGCCTGCAAGCAGCAGCCTGCAAGGAGCGGCCTGCAAGGAGCGGCCTGCAAGGAGCGGCCTGCAAGCAGCGGCCTGCAAGCAGCGGCCTGCAAGGAGCGGCCTGCAAGGAGCGGCCTGCAAGCAGCGGCCTGCAAGCAGCGGCCTGCATGCACCGGCCTGCAAGCAGCGGCCTGCAAGCCCTCTTATTCATCACAACCTGCTTGGTCTCGCTCTTTCTCCACGGACCCTTCTAATTCCCTCTTGAAAAGTTCCACCTTTTGCTCAGGCAGTGATTGTTATATTTGCTAGAAGGTTTTTGAGAAGTCGTAGGCCTCTAATGTTCACTTGGTGCTCATTGGTGGTGCTTGTGACCCGCGTGCTCTTCACTGGGGTTATTATACATTGTCTGCCACATCGTTTGCTCCAGTAAGATGCTATTTGACCGTACAGGTTGTGAACCTAACAGTGTAGTGTCTTCTGTGTGTGTATTGTGAGATGGGTCTTGTGTCTCCGGTCCCATGTTAGTGCTTTGAGGCATTCTTGATTATTGAGGTGTTTTACTGCTCTGTGTTCCAGTAAAGATTATCTCTAAACTTCTCGTTCTGAAGCCTCCCTAAGGTGAGGCGAGGACACGGCAGTGTTGCACAGCGGATAGTATAAGTGACTTAAATACGGAAGCACTAAGGAGGTATACCTTGGTGTGAAGGAGGCATGGGGTGTAGAGGTGTAGGAACCGTGACAGCCAGTGTGGTGGTGTGTGTTTGGACCTGTGCTGCTGCCGAGGCCGCTGGTAAGGACTGCAAGGACTAGTAGTAGGCATCCATCAGTCTCGGGAGACTGTGGAGTTGCGCTCTGGTTGTCGCAGTCCTCACCAGCGCCCCCGGAAGCAGCACAGGTCCAAGCTTGTAGTAAATAATGCTTGTTTAAAGTGTCGTGTATAGTAGTGATTTCAGGTGCTTATGTGGGGGGAAATAATGTTGCTTGTGGAGCGTGGGATATTGCTTATATGGATCTGTTCTGCTTGCATGGTGTATAGAATAGCTTGTGGCACATATATCCGTTGTGGGCGTCAGTGTTTCAGGCAGCCAGGATTAATGCCCGTGGCCGGCATGGTATTGCCTAACGGGGACCACCATTGTGCCTCTATGTCCAGGGAATTATATGGCTTCTAACTTACTTGTAAGACACTTGCTGTTGTGCTTGCTTGAGTTTCCTGCCGCAGCAGCTGCTTGTCAACGTGTGAGTGACTTACACGGGAAGCCACAGCGGCTGTGGTAGAATCGTATTGTGGCAGCGTCGAGTGACACCTGGTTGATGGAGTTCTGGGAGTTCTTCTAGTCCCCAAGCCCGGCCCGAGGCCAGGCTTAACTTGTGAGAGTTTGGTCCACTAGGCTGTTGCTTGGAGCGGCCCGCAGGCCCACATACCCACCACAGCCTGGTTGGTCCGGAACTTCTTTTGGAAAACAGTCCAGTTTCCTCTTGAAGATGTCCACGGTTGTTCCGGCAATATTTCTGATGCTTGCTGGGAGGACGTTGAACAACCGTGGACCTCTGATGTTTATACAGTGCTCTCTGATTGTGCCTATGGCACCTCTGCTCTTCACTGGTTCTGTTCTGCATATTCTTCCATGTCGTTCACTCCAGTACGTTGATATTTTACTGTGTAGATTTGGGACCTGTCCACCAGTATTTTCCAGGTGTATATTATTTGGTATCTCTCTCGTCTCCTTTCTAGTGAGTACATTTGGAGAGCTTTGAGACGATCCCAATAATTTAGGTGCTTTATCTCATCTATGCGTGCCGTATATGTTCTCAATATTCCCTCTATTTCATCAATCTCTCCTGCTCTGAAGGGGGAAGCGAGTACTGAGCAGTACTCGAGACGGAACAGCACAAGTGACTTGAAAAGTACAACCATTGTGATGGGATCCCCGGATTTGAAAGTTCTCGTAATCCATCCGATCATTTTTCTGGCTGACGCAATATTTGCTTGATTATGCTCCCTAAACGTTAGGTCGTCGGACATCATTATTCACAAATCCTTGACATGCTGTTTTCCTACTATGGGCAGATTCGATTGTGTTTTGTACCCTGTATTATGTTTCAGATCCTCATTTTTGCCGTACCTCAGTACCTGGAATTTATCACTTAAACATCATGTTATTTTCTGCTGCCCAATCGAAAACTTTTTTGAAATCTGCTTGTAATTTTTCCATGTCTTCAGCAGAGGTAATTTTCATGCTGATTTTTGTGTCATCTGCAAAGGATGACACGAAGCTGTGACGTGTATTTTTGTCTATATCTGATATAAGAATAAGGAACAGTAGCGGTGCAAGGACTGTACCTTGAGGTACAGAGCTTTTAACTGCGCTTGGACTTGATTATATTTGATTGACTTTTACTCTGTGTTCTGTTCGACACGAAATTGAGTATCCAGCGTCCTACTTTACCAGTTATTCCCATTGACCTCATTTTGTGAGCTATCACCCCATGGTCACATTTGTCGAACGCCTTTGCAAAGTCTCTGTATACAACATCTGAATTTTGCTTTTCTTCTAGAGCTTCTGTGATTTTGTCATAGTGGTTGAGTAACTGTGACAGACAGGATCTTCCCGCTCTAAATCCATGTTGTCCTGGATTGTGTAGCTCAATATTTTCCATAAAACTAGAAATTTGATTTCTAATCGCCCTCTCAAAAACTTTTATTATGTGTGATATTAGTGCAATTGGTCTATAATTTTTTGCCAAGGCTTTACTACTCCACTTGTGCAGAGGAGCTATGACTGCAGATTTAAGTGCTGCTGGTATCTCCCCTGTATCCAGGCTCTTTCTCCATATTACACTGAGCGCTCGCGCTACTGGTACTTTACATTTCTTTATGAATATTGAATTCCATGAGTCAGGCCCAGGAGCTGAGTGCTTGGGCATATTATCAATTTCTCTTTCAAAGTCTTCCGAGTTTGTGGTAATATCCGTAATATTATCTGCAGGTTGAATGTCATTCATAAAGAAGCTGTCTGGGTCATCAACTTTCATGTTGTTTATTGGTGTGCTAAACATAGCCTCATACTGGCTTCTTAGAAATTCACTAATCTCTTTGTTGTCCTCTGTGTACGTACCTTCATTTGTAATTAACGGTCCAATACTGGTCGAGGTTTTTGATTTTGCGTATGTGATAAAATATTTTGGATTTTTCTTTATCTCGTGTATAGCTTTCTGTTCCAATTCCATTTCCTCAGACTCGTATGATCGCTTCAACGTTTGTCCTATTTCTTTGATCTCCCTGTTTAGATAAATTTTCCTTTCTTCTGATAGTTGTGTCTGCCGAAGCATTTCCGTTATTTTTTCCTTCTCCTGTACAGCCGTCTGCGTTCTCTTTCTAGAGTGGTCCTCTTTCTGCCCCTCCTCACAGGCACGTGCTTCAAGCACACCTTGTAAGCTTCAGCTGTCAGTTGGGCTATTCCCTGTGTGGGAGTTTTGTCGCTTAAGACCGGTCGGCCGAGCGGACAGCACGCTGGACTTGTGGTCCTGGGCTCGATCCCAGGCGCCGGCGAGAAACAATGGGCAGAGTTTCTTTCACCCTATGCCCCTGTTACCTAGCAGTAAACAGGTACCTGGGTGTTAGTCAGCTGTCACGGGCTGCTTCCTGGGGGTGGAGACCTGGTCGAGGACCGGGCCGCGGGGACACTAAAAGCCCCGAAATCATCTCAAGATAACCTCACGACAAGACCGTCTCCCATTGAATGGTTGCAAGTCTACATTTATTGTTTCCCATCCTCTTATTGATATATATAATTGATTGAATACCCCTTCTCGCTTGTTGGGTCTCTCAGACCTACTACCGTTATGTATGCTAGTTCGCACTTCAATGAGCTTATGGTCTGAGTATGTAGTATCTGAGATTGTGATGTCTCTGATTAGTTCATCATTGTTTGTGAATAACAAGTCTAGTGTGTTTTCGTTCTTAGTTGGTTGTGTATCACGGGAAGCCTCAGTGCCTGTGGTGGGGTCGTGCTGTGGCGGCGTCGAGTGCTTCTTGGAGACTGCTGGTGACAGTCAATATTGGCTTATTTAATAAGTGCATATGTGACATACTAATTGATTGTGAATATTTTAGTTTACCTTGAAAAGCTTCATAGAAAACACCGACCTCACCTAACCTTCTTAGTATGTTAAGATAAGCATCTTATTGCTTCTTATTTACAATTATTACTTAACCTATCAACGGTATAGGTTAAGTAATAATTGTAATTAAGAAGCAATAAGATGCTTATTATAACATACTAAGAAGGTTAGGTGGGGTCGGTGTTTTCTATGAAGCTTTTCAAGGTAAACTAAAATATTCACAATCAATTAGTATGTCACATATGCACTTATTAAATAAGTCAATATTGACTATAAGCAAGTGCGAGAACGGGTTGGCTGGTGAGCGTACGGGGACTCGTGTTACCAGGGGAAGACTTGGACTGGGACGGGGCTCGAACGGGTTGGCTGGTGAGCGTACGGGGACTCGTGTTACCAGGGGAAGACTTGGACTGGGACGGGGCTCGAACGGAATTGCTGGATTATGTGCGAGTTTATCCTTGAGAACACTGCTCCTAACATAAGGTTTACCAGTCTGCTAGACCTCGGACCATACCAAGACGTCTGGCAGACCTCGGACCATACCAAGACGTCTGGCAGACCTGGGACCATACCAAGACGTCTGGCAGACCTGTGACCATACCAAGACGTCTGGCAGACCTGGGACCATACCAAGACGTCTGGCAGACCTGGGACCATACCAAGACGTCTGGCAGACCTGGGACCATACCAAGACGTCTGGCAGACCTCGGACCATACCAAGACGTCTGGCAGACCTGGGACCATACCAAGACGTCTGGCAGACCTGGGACCATACCAAGACGTCTGGCAGACCTGGGACCATACCAAGACGTCTGGCAGACCTGGGACCATACCAAGACGTCTGGCAGACCTGGGACCATACCAAGATGTCTGGCAGACCTCGGACCATACCAAGACGTCTGGCAGACCTCGGACCATACCAAGACGTCTGGCAGACCTCAGACCATACCAAGACGTCTGGCAGACCTCAGACCATATCAAGACGTCTGGCAGACCTGGGACCATACCAAGACGTCTGGCAGACCTCAGACCATACCAAGACGTCTGGCAGACCTCGGACCATACCAAGACGTCTGGCAGACCTGGGACCATACCAAGA